AGGGACTACGTAGGAAATTGTATAAGGGCTTTCTCAACTTCATATGGACAATGTATTATATAAAAGGCGGAACTCAGGGCTATTCGTGACGGGATACTACTGGTTAGAGATCTTGATTTGTCAGATATTTGGGTTGAGGCAGACTCGACTGTTGCCATTTACTGTATCACCAGAGGTGGCAGACTGTGGCCTATCCAAGGGATACTCAGACAGATTGCAGATATCGTTTCCTTTTACAGAGATATGGTTTCTCACATCTTTAGATAGGGAAACCAGGTTGCAGATACACTTGCTATAGAGGGTTGACATCAGCATAGATACCAGGAATATGGACCAGCCGACCTACCACGACATATCAGAGCGCTTGTTCAGATTGACAGATATAGTTTGCCCAGCACTAGAGTTTAAGTATTTGTATTTTGCTTTTATTTTTATTTTTATTTTTTTATTTAACTTGTGCTTTTTGTTAGAGAGGTAGTACTCTTTTTTTTTTTACTGATTTTCTATTATTTTTTACTTTCACTATAAGGGAAGTAGTATTTCCTCATTTATTGATTTCATTGATATCATTTGTAACCATGACATTCCTCCGTTACAAGTTATGACATTTTAATAAAATTTCGGAAGTATTGCCCTCCTTCTATTAAAAAAATAAAATCACTCTTAGCTATCTAGTTTTATAATTCTAGATTTTGCTTTTCAAATTTGGTCGGTGTGTTCAAATTTGAAATGGGGTATATTTTTATGAGGACCATGTGTTGATTTAACATGGACTATATTCGTTATTGAAGATTGATTAAGCAATTATTTTTGAGAATGAATTTTCTATTTTGCTGGCAAACTTTTCAATTTTTCTTTTTATTTTTGTCTATGAAAAAAGGAAAAATCAGGAATTCAAAATTATACTGTAATTAGCACATAACATCTCCACATTTTATTGTTATTGTGGAAAACGTCACTACCTTTCATTTTTTTTGGTATTTTCACTATTGTTTCCACATTTCATTGCGTAAAAAGTCATTTTCACATATTTTTTCAATTAAAAATTATAAAATGAAGAATATACCACTCTCTTTAAATAAATAAAAAAAAAAACTAATTGCAACCACAATCCCTTTTTTTTTAAAAGTACAAATAAGTCACAAATAAATTATTAAAATGGTAATTAATACATAATATCCATATATTTTACCGTTATTGCGAAAAACGTCCATATCTTTTTTT